GCTGAGATGCGTGACGATGCTCATTACTTCGTTGTCAGTGCCAGGAGCACATCTACAATGCCAACCACGGAAAATCCCAGATGACGATTGGTCAAAGTGAGATACATATATTATAAAATTACATATATATCACATTCTTTCTCTAAATACAAATAATGCATATTTATATCTCATTTTAGTTCCGCTTATGTCGAACTGTACAATAAAATAGCAATGGCTTATGTTATTTGGCGAGGTGCTGGCATGTCCATTCAAGGTGTCAGAACTTGCGGGGATTACATGTTTAGCGGACATACGGTAGCATTAACGATGCTTAACTTTTTCATTACAGAGTGTAAGTAATTAGTATACGTTATTTCATAATCGAAGATTGTAATATTCAAGATTGCAATGCTCTTTTTTTTATTGTAGATACTCCAAGACATTTATATTTTCTCCATACTTTTACGTGGATGCTTAACATGTTTGGTATTTTTTTCATCTTGGCGGCGCATGAACATTATTCCATCGACGTTTTCGTCGCGTTTTATATAACTTCGCGATTATTTCTTTACTATCATACACTAGCGAATAATCAAGCATTGATGCAACGCGATTCGATCAGAACCAGAATATGGTTTCCGTTATTTAGCTTTTTTGAGGCGTCCGTTGATGGTATTGTTCCTAATGAATATGAATCGCCGTCCTTGATAGTTTGCAATTTAGCAGGCACAGGAAAGAACATTTGGCATTGTGTACGATCTCGGATTTCTCTCCGAAAAATGCAGCGTAGCATAAATGGCAGTTTAAGCAGCACAAAAAAAGAATACTAATGTCAACTGGTACATATTTTACCTTTTTTAATTGTTATATTCGATTGCTATAATTAATACTTTTAAGATAAATATGCCATGTAGGGAACACTTCATTGATTTTTTTAATTCCAGTTACACGATACACGAAAATATACATATGTAAAGAGAAAAAAAGGAGACGAAAGATTAATATTTCTTTGGGATGGATCTTTATGTCTGAGAATATATAAAATGTATAAGTTTCGAAAAAATGAAAGTGATCTTATATTGTATATTTATCTGTTCAGAGCGTGGACTGTTTGACAAATTTATTTATATTGGAATAATATCGAAAAGGATGTAATATTAATTCTAAATATTTATTTTTGCGATAGGGTTGTTGATACCGAAAGAGATTGAAGTAACTTATGATACGATTTATTAATATTACGTAATAGTTAACTTTTACTATCACACAAATAATGTAATTTATTAAGAAATTTCCAAAGACAAAGCGTAGCGTATAAAGTACTTTACTATTCAACATGTATTTTCCAAGCATGTTGCATCGTCTAAGACTTTCTTATTTTTTTAAGTGTATGTATATGTATATATACATTATATATATACACATATATATACATATGTGTGTGTGTATATATATGTGCCCACAATTTGCTCATAAGTACTTTTGTTTTTTTTTTTGTGATACAAAAAGAAAGTTAGGTTAAAGGTTATATTGCGACGGCCTGCAGGGATGTTAGATTTTATCAGGAATGTTGAATGATTTTCTATACCTTTCATAATAATATTTTAGAATTTCTAGATTAGACATCTTTGAAGACGCATGTTTGTTGCTAACAATGGAACGCAATGTTTTCTTTGAAGAGTAAATATGTTACGTACTATTATGCATTCCTGATATTTGATAAAATTAATAATTTAAATCTCCTGATGTTTACTTACTGTAACCGTATTAAAGTCGTGTGATTTTTTGCATTTTACATAAAAATAAATAAAATTTTGCATATATTCGACGTAGCTACATAATAATAAGATATACTGACTATCTTTTTGATTTAGATAGAAATAAATAGGAGTAAATATCTTAGTTAATTATCATAAAATTCATTTTTGCTGGAAATATACAGATATATATGTATGCTTTTGTTAATGTAGATTATTAAAAAGAGGGATGATTTTTCACTATCAAAGAAAATTTATGATTTCAATACAGTTACAGTAAGAAAGCAGGATACATATTTACATATGTCGTATTATTAAACAGAGGCTGAAAATACTGCTGTTATCGTAACTTTTAATGTAAATTCGTACGTAAAATATCTGTATGATATGATTGTATGAATAGCTTCTATATGTTACATAGAAGCTATTGCCAATAGTATAATAGCTTTTTAATATTTCATCCATATCTATTTTTTATGTGATAAATAACTTAATCTTGTTGGCGTTAACGAGTACCGATTATTGGTAACTCGTTGATGGTGCCTGAGATTGTTGGTATTTATTACCTTATATACTTCCAAAAACTATGCAATGTAAACTTTCTCTCTTTCTTATGCTAATATCGACCAATATACCGACTAGTTTACGAGACAGTCGGATTTGCAGACAATTGAGAAAAATAGTATGAATAAAAGACGTCAATATTTCAATAAGACTTTTATTGTACTTTTATTAATTATAAATAATGAAATATTTGCAAGTATCATTTCCCTTTATCTTTCCCAAACAAAATTTTCAAGAAAAAATGCACGATATTCGAACATTCGTGTCCTTCGTAACTCGTAATTATAAAAAGCAATATTAAAATTTCCAAAACAGCCGTTTCAAGTAAATTGTTGACTTAGATTTAAAAAATTTTAAAAAAATAGGCAAAGCATCAAAGATTGTGACGAGGTAAGAAATGGCCATTTCGCAATCAATTAGCGTTTGTAAATAAAGTGCAGTGAATTAGTGAATGAAGTACAGTTACGTACAGTTTCACGGCACTGTGATGTGAGTTGTGATGTGGATGTATGAAAGATATATAAACAGTTAAATACGCTTGACATATAAAAATTGTAATATTCTCATTTTTTTATAAATTGGAAAACGTGTTCAAATTACGAGACTCAACATTAATTTCTAATTATCTAATTGAATCTAATGTAGTTCCTACTAGTCAACAGATTATGATAGGTTAGTTCGAACGAAGTTAGGTTATTGCCTTCAATTGAAAAATAATTCGTTCTAATTATCAAGCCATAATTATGGCTGTATCTGCTTTTATTCGTTGTTCACACTTTCGACGTTTAGTCGGCGTAAGCAACAATGCTGTTGCCTTATTTCCAGATTCCGTGTGGTATTCGGTAAGTTTGCAATTCCTGTGTAATGAAGCCATCGTGCTATTTGTCTATTGTAATTTTTTCGTTTCGATTATGTATAAATTATTTAGTTTCTTTAATTATTTTACGGTTACAGAATCTTATTAAATCACAATCTTATGCAACATCTATCAGTGAAATCAAAGATACAACTGAAACTAATACGAAGAAACCTGAGAAAAAAATAAGCAAAGCTATGTCAATGTATTTGCAACGTGCAAAAGAATATGGTAGTAACTGATTTTTTTTAAATATATATATATTTTTTAAATAATTTTGTATAATTACTAATGTTTTATATTAATTTTAATATCAATAGTGTATAAACAATATTTTTCTATACACAAGTTATTATTTAAATTTATTAGATGAATTCATGAAGAAAGAGATCTTAGAATATGAGATAGGGAAAAGACATCTGGCTAATATGATGGGCGAAGATCCAGAATGTTTTAAGCGAGCAGATATAAATGTATGCAATTATATAAAAAATCTAATTTGATATATATAAATATCTAAGTTAATATCTAAAGTCTTATGTGATTATTATTTTTAGAGATCAATCCAATATTTATTTCCATCGGGACTATTTGATCGTAAAGCTCGGCCAATAATGGAACATCCAGAAAAGATTTTTCCAAGCAGGAAAGCAGCAGAATTTGATGAAACTGGAAGACCCTTCCATTCTATGTTTTATACTTCAAAGCCAAATTATTATGAGACACTATATGTAAGTTTTTATAATAGCTATTATAGATATATGAAAGAAAGTAACTAATATCTGAAAATTATTTTTATTTATAGAATATTGTTGATAATATCAAGTCTCTGAATGATATTGAAGATTCATTGATAAAGGAAGGAACATTGCCTATGGACAGAATGTATGTTGAATATTTAGTTTTATAGAATGTGTATATGTGCATACAGTTTGACATATAAATAAAAAAAATATCCTGCAAAATATCAAATATAAATATTTTTTTGAAATATATTTTTAGCGATCTAATAGGTTCCTCCTGGTTGTCAAAAAATGCTGTTGAAAAACTATTTCTTGAAAGTATTAACGATTTTGAGGTAAATAATATTAATATTAATTAGCTACACAAAACTTACAAAAAAATTGTAATGCATGATTTAACTCATAAATGTATAATAATCTTTTCAGTACAACTATCTTATTACATCATTAGAACGACTAAGAGAGCATCCACTATCAAGACGTGCAACAGATTTCATTTTAAAATATTGTAAAACATATAATACCCATTCTAAGAAGACAACAGTACTACCTGTAAGTATCTATATAATGAAAATAAAGTTTCAATTAATGTAAAGGTTTATTATTACGTGTTAAGTTGGAACATGACAGCACAGGAAGGCCGTATGTCACAGTCAAAAGTAAGTAAATACAATTTTAATATTCATAGAAAATTAGCAAGTGTATATATCATAAGATTCATTATTGTTAATGATTTCAGATTGCATGAGGAAGTCTACAAGAGGTGAAGTAACAATTTGGGGTAATGGCTCTGGTCAGATTGTCATTAATGGACGCAACATCACATACTTTGAAGATATGACGCATCGCGAACAGGTGAGTTATTCCTTGCTTAAATCCTCGTAAGAAAAGTCGGTACTAAATTTTCATTAAACAATATTCCAAGTTTTTACGTAAATCTTTGGAAATTATAATGTAACATAATGTAACATAATTCGGTCAGAGATCATTTCTACTATTTATGTTAAAATAAGATAGTTTGTATGCACTCTAGTTCGCTCTTTTTTAAAAATGATATTCAAACTTTTCCAATAGCAATTTTTTCTTAACTTTGACTCAAGCGAATTGCCATACAATATTTTTTTAGTTTTTAAATTGGACATTGATTATGATAATCGAATTTCAATGTTTTCTTCGCTGCATATTTAGATATCTGAATAATTATAGGCATAATAATGTGCTTATTCAAGATACCTAAGAATAGAAACTTATATGATACTATTAAGTATTACCAATAAGTGAAAGTTTGCATTAAAGAACTCTTAAAAATATCTTAAAATTGTTTTGTGTGTCAATTTTCGACTCAATTCTGCTCATTGAATAACTAAAAAAAATTACGAAAATTACAAAATGGTAAAGGACTTTTCGACTCAGTTTGCTCTACCTTTCCACAAGCGATATGTCAAATAATTTACGATACTTTATATAATATTTCATTTTTCATGGAATTTTCAAAAACATGTTCCAATACATACATAATATTATTACATCACATTTTACACAAATAGTTTTAGTTTTTTTATCAATGCCTTTGGAACTACGCATATGACATCGTCTAACAACACTGTTTATGTGGCCACACACCTCTAGTGCATACGGGGAGACGCTGTTAGCGTTATTTGTGTTATTCTATCCTTGTTTTACGTCTAATGAACGATGAAGATAGAATGACATAAATAGTGCTAATAGCGTTTTCCTGAACGCATCTTCTGTGTGCGGAGGAAAGGGAGGAAGCGAGGGAGGAAGGGAGGGGAGAGAAACATTCCATAGGTACATTCCATTGTCACATCATGATTTAAAAAAAAATAGCACTAAATAGACTAAAAACAGCAAAATCGTTATTTTTCTCAAAATTGTGACATGATTGCCCAATTTCGATAACGGATTTTTGCTCAGCA